GGGATGAAGGGGAATAAAATTAATGTTCCTTAAATTATCCTACTTTGAATATGCCATCTCTTTTGTGATGGGACCCTGACTATCCATTTGTCAGGATCCTAGCTTTAAATACCTGAATACGTCCCCGTAGGTGCTCCGCTTCAACTTAAAATCAACACGCCTATTACCAAACTTACCTGTTTCCTGAGACAGTTTTCCCTTCCTCAGATCCATACACTATCACTTAGTGAGTAATATCTTAACTGAGCCTCTCTCTGTAATCTGTCATGTCTCGTTAGACTCCATATAGTAGTATAGCCTATATATGCCCCTTCTGTTCCTATTACTTCTAACCTTGTTTTAATATTTCTCAAGTTATCCCTTGACTCAAAAGCTAGCCTTTCTGCCTCATTTTTCCCCTACCACTCAAAATTTTTCAAATATTTCTGCATTTTATATACCTAATGACTAACTCTTGGGTTCAAATCACAATCTAGTCACAACTCGTAGTGGAACATCCTGTCAATGTCTTTCTTATTTACTCAGTATCATCTAAACAAACCTTGAGCCTTAGCCAGTTTGGCTCAGTGAGTGGATAGAGCGTTGGCCTGGGCACTGATCGGTCCTGGGTTTGATTCCAGTCAAGGGCATGTACCTCAGTTGCAGGCTCCTCCCTGGCCGGGGCCCTGGTCCAAGCACAGGCAGGAGGCAACCAATCAATATGTTTCTCTCTGTATTTTCCTCTCTCTTCCACTCTCTCTAAATAAAAATCAATGGGAAAATGACCTCAGGTGAGGATTAAAAAATAAAAAAATAAACCTTGAACTTTAATATTCCACCCATTTATTAAAGACATTTCCCTTAGTCGAAAGTGCCTTTCGCCTACTTCCTACCTGTCCATCCAAATCCTACCGACTGTCCTCCTTCTTCGCTTTCTCAACATGCCCTAATCCTGTAAATTGAACTTTTCTCTGAAACATGCTGAAAACAGTGCCTTTGCACATAAAAAATACAAAGTATTTATTAATATATTCTCATAAATTTAAGTGAAATTTAAGTGCAAGATGAAGAGGCAGAGAGCCTAAACAGCTCAATCTTCTCAGACAAGTCTTAAAAGATTTCTATCAAAACTTATCTATTATTGCCCTGGCCAGGAGCTTCATCCTGATGCGCCAAGGTTACAGGTTCAATCCCCAGTCAGGGCACATACAAGAATCAGTCAGTGAATGCAAAAATAAGTAGAACAACACCTCTCTCTCTCTCTCTCTCTCTCTCTCTCTCTCAAATCAATAAATAAAAATTAAAAAAGCTATCTATTATTCATTGCACTGGCATAAACTTATTACTTTTAAATAGTAATCTGTAACAACCTGTTAAAATTTACAGTCGTATAATATACATATATTTTGAGTAAACATAAAAACTGCATTTTCCAATCTTAGAATGGAATTCAAGAGATTCCTCTCCACCCCCAACTCACCCCATCAGTCTCAGGAACAGCCTCCAGAACTGGTAGAGCCTACAGCCCCTGACAGAGGTATTTCCTGCCTGCCATTCAAGACCGCCTTCAGCCAGACTGCACTGCTAGTCTTCAAAGGCTCTTCATGATTACTAACCCTAAGCTCTCATCAAAAAGCAATTTATAGATTTACATGAATATGCCTATTTTTAAAGTTTCAAAACATATCTGATTTTCCCTATACATTTTAAGAGACTATTACAATTACATATAAACTCTGTGAGGAAAATGTAGACTTTTAGTCTATAATTACACCTAATAAAATTAGAAATCATTTTATTCACAAAATAATAAAAATGGCTAAATATATATCATTACATGATTATAGTACTCCTGCATGGATGACATCATGAACATGTTTCTTGTGTGGATACATACATATGGATATATAGGAATAAAAGAAGAAAAACTTATTGTAAACATGCAGAGAACTGACATACAGATCAATTAGCATAATTATGAACATTTTTAAATTTATGTATTTTTGTTGATTTCAGAGAGGGAGAGAGAGAGAGAGAGAAAATCAATGATGAGAGAGAATCACTGATTGGCTGCCTCCACTGGGGGGTGAGCCCACAATCCAGGCATGTGCCCTGACCGGGAAATCAAACCATGACCTCCTCGTTCATAGGTCGACGCTCAACCACTGAGCCACACCAGGCTAATTATGAACATTTTTAAATGTATATAAACCTAAGTTGTAATTATAGGAACATTTCAGGAAGTGTTCCCTAGATGTACAAAAGGAAATCTTGTCTGTATGACTCTCATTTCCACCAATTCCCCAAATAAAAACTGATATAACTATTTTATAAATATTCCTTTGCTTTTCTTCCCACTCAGTTTCTCCAAAATTTACAGGTATATGGAATTTAAGTGAAAACTTTGTATCATGAGAAATGAGCCTGATCCTACTCAACTACTCAAAAGAAAACATGAATTAGGACAAATCATAACAACCTTCATTCATTTTGTAAACATTCTAGATGTTAGATGTCAGAAGAATAAAAATTTAGTCAGATTTTAACTCATTTGAAAATGCATTTGATTCTTTAAATAAAAACAAAATTAAGCTATGATGAAACTATTCTAAACTAATCTATATATATTAACCATCCTTATAAGGTTATTAAAAATCCATGAAATATAGTATTGTCAAATAAGTCAGTATATCATAGACTCATTCCATGGTCTGCATGCCTTATGATGAATAAATATAAGTTTCAAATTGTTGTGATTATAGATGTATGTGCCAGCAGTTTTCAGTATGAATTTGGCATTGCCTTTTTAAAATAATTATATCTGAATTCTAGGTTTTACAGTGTTGTTCTGTAAAGAGAGACAAGATTATATTATACTAATCTTTATTTTTAGAAGTAATAAAGCAAGCATAGATTTCATTAAAAATCCACAATCTAGTATGTAATTAAAAATTAAGATGAACCCTAGCCAGTTTGGTTCATTGGACAGAGTGTCGGCCTATGGACTGAAGGGTCTTGGGTTCGATACTGATCAAGGGCACATACCTTGGTTGCAGGCTATATCTCCGGCCCCGAACTCAGGGTGCATGCGGGAGGCAACCAGACAATGTGTCTCTCTCACATCAATGTTTTTCTCTCTCTCTGTCTCTCCTCTCTCCCACTCTCTCTAAAAATCAATGGAAAAAATATCCTCGGGTGAGGATTAACCAAAAAAAAAAAAAAATTTAAGGTGAACTTCTCAGTACACTTAGACTATTTTAGAATAATGTGAGTTATTTACTAACATTTCCTTTTAGTATTAAAATAAATAAATCTAAAAAATGTTATCAAGTGTTCAAAAACCACTTTTAAACTATCATAAAAATAGCTATTACTTTACCCAGACTTTGTATATCCTCCTTTCTAATATCACAATCACTCATATCTCTGCCTTGTAAATGATATAATCACCCTCAGAGTTCAAGACTAAGAAAATCAAATCCTTTAGGTGGATTATATTTGCTTCCTATTTGGAATTGTTTTTATCTAAGTAATTTAAATTAATGAAGCCCTGGCCACCAACTGTACAACCAATAAGATTTGGCCGACGTGCTCTGGTATTTTAATGTGATAAATATTTTGTGATAAAACAATGTTCTACTGATGCAAACTTGGCACTGTAGTTTTCATTTTTTGTAATTTCTAATTTGCTACTAAAATCATAGCCTTCTTTACACTTTTGAATGTTTTACAGAAATTTCACACAAGTTCTACGTTTTTCATTCACCTTTACCTATCAGACTTTTTGTTCCTGGACTATTAGCTTTCTGTTTAGTTACGCTCCTATAACAAAATCAGTTTCATCAGCTACTTCATCATGCATAATAATGTTAGCTGTTCTTGCTTATTGTTTTCCTCAAGAAGAAAATTCATCTCTGCCACTAGACTTCTACCTTCTGAATGGAAAACTCTCCAAACTCTCAGGAAAACACATGTATCTTCCTGCCACTTGCATTCTCTATCATAAATGAAGTACCAGCACAGACTACAGTCACCACGCCCATCTAAAATGTTTGGCAACCTGTTTTGAAAATGAATTGGTCACCAAGTCACCTGGGGTTTACTGGCATTGTTGTTGCCATCGCTCTGAAGAGCAAGGGAGCTTCCAATCCCTCAGCTCAACAACAAGTAAGGCTGGAGGAAGAACAGCTTTCAGCTGGAAGAAGCTAGTATGCTACCCAGTGCTCCTGGGCCTCCGTAAGTGGAAAGACGTCCAACTCTCACCATGTTTAGTCATGAGACTTTGCTATATTTATAGGAATTTATCGACATGCTTACGAATTCTTACTAGGATTGTACACCAGGCATAAGGATTCTTTTTCACCATTAATAGCTAAAGATAAATTTTAAGGTTTATTATTATAAAAGGGTCATTGGAATCCTTCTGGTAAAATACTCTTACTTTCTTTATAGTCAATGGCAAAAATTAAAAGGTTTCCCCAAGAATTATACACACTAACCCCCAATTAAACTTACAGTTATCTCACCAAAGACAGACTAAAACACCACAATTTCTAAGACTTAAAGGGAAGAGGAATCTGATAGATTACTGCAAAGAAACTCTGACCTATGAAAAAAGGAATCATACCGCTCCATCAATACTGATTCAAAGAAACTCTTAATCTGTTACAGAATGAGAATACCCTATTTATTTTTAAATTTAAAAAAGTTACCCTCATATACTAGCCTACTGACCTCTAATATAAGTAAATAACTAGTCAACTTTTGCACTTCCAAAAAAACTTTATAAAAATAATTATTGGGGTCCATGATATAAGACTCTGTTATACTTCAAAAAAATTATAATAGAGAACTCCTTATGTCCATATAAATTTCCTTAAACAAGAGATGTTTCACTGCTTTCCAATCTATACTAAATAGCATTAAAAGGAGGAGTTTTGGGGATATTATTCATCTGGCAATAGCAACGATGACACAAAATGAGAAAGTTATAAATAATAAACATTTGATGAGATGTCTACCTGTTTCCACATTCTCGGTCTCAACTTCTTGTTCTTCTGCCACATCTTGCATCATATAAGTCTCATCATCATAAACCAGAACCTGGGCTGCATAGCCCTGCTCTAATCTGGCACTGGGAACTGGCTCCACAATCACTGCTGGATAGTCAGAAACCTTCTCACCTTCCTACAAGAGCAAATTTAAAAAACAATCAACCTTTTTATTCACAAATGCTGGATTCACTTATAAAGCCTTGAGTTCCTAGAGTCTCAAGGAATCCACACAATGAGTTTAATGTAGTATAAATATGAATGTAAAAAAAACAACAACAACAAAAAAAAAACACGAGATGCAAAGGATTAACTTTAATAATCTGTCCAAGTCTTAAGAGGTGAAACTTAGACTAATACACATTTTAAATAATCAGGGCTTTAGACTTAAGATGGCAAATTAAAAACTTGCATATAATTTCACTCTCATGAAAGTAGTAAAAGACTTTTAGACAACTGTGTAAGGAGAAGAGATAAAAGCTACAAAGGAGAAGAGATAAGAGCAACAAAACCTTGGAAGACTGAAAGTGGATGGCTGAGTATTATTAAGTGGTTTAGTGGACCCAGGAAAGCCAAATTACAGGCTCGCAGCAGAGCCAGCTGAGAAACAGCAGAGACACTGGAGGACCCACAGAAGGCAAAATCTCAATTAATTCTGGAAATAATTAATTTCAGCAGCAGGTGGTAGAAAAAGAGGAGGCTCCTCAAACAAGAAAGATCCCATTAAGCCTGTTTAAAAAGCACTTCGGTTCCTAGACACACTCCCGTCTCCACAATGCTTAGTAACCAGCCCTCCCCACCGGAGCAGAAGATTGGAGAGGGAGAAACAAGAGTACTTTTGAGGTCGATTAGGCACATTTGCTAGTATCAGTACTGTACCAAAACCCGTTTCCAGTCAGCATTTTAGTCCTCAACTGTTAATCAAGTATTACTAGTTGTCTAAGACAGAATATACACATACATGCACACACATATATATTAATATTCTTCAGAGATATTATATCCATAAAACAAGAACAGAATACAATAAATAAATAACATTTAAAAATAAAGAGTTCTTAGAATTAAAAACACAATAGCCAAAATGAAAAGGCAGAGGCTTGGGAGATAAAACTGAGGCAGTCTTCCAAGAACCAGAGAAAAAAGATAAAGCACTAGAAAACAGGACAGAAAAGAGAACAATATTAGAGGACAGTCCAGGAGGCCGATATATGAATAACAGGAATTACAGAAAAAATATGGAGAGGGAGAAGGGGTGGTTGGAAAGAAATCAAAGAATTAATAGAGATTTTTCTAGAGCTGAAAAACTTAAAGCTGCCCATTTGAAAGGACCTACCAAGTAATTAGTATAAAAAATTAAGAAAGACCTATACTGAGGCACACCATTGTGAAGTATTGTAATACCGGGGGCAAAAAGAAGATTCTACGAGCTTCTGGAAAGAAAATACACGTCTCACACACACAGACTTGAGACTCAGTTCAGTCTTCTCAACCCTAATACTGGAAGGAAGATGACAATGGAACCATTTCTTCAAAGTTATAAAGGAAAATTATTTCCAACCTAAATTCTTCACCCAGCCAAACCGTCTATGAAAGCATTTTCTCAGACAGGAAAGAGCTCACATTTACCTTCCCTGCATTCTTTCTCAAGAAGCAATTGGAAAGTATTTTCTGTATTTTAAAAAAGAGTGCATTTGGCCCTAACTGGTTTGGCTCAGTGGATAGAGCATCGGCCTGCGGACTCAAGGGTCCCAGGTTCGATTCCAGTCAAGGGCATGTACCTTGGTTGCAGGCACATCCCTAGTAGGGGGTGTGCAGGAGGCAGCTGATCGATGTTTCTCTCTCATCAATGTTTCTAACTCTCTATCCCTTACCCTTCCTCTCTGTAAAAAAAAAAATCAATAAAATATATATATATTTTTTTTAAAAAGAGTAAATTTGTAATTTAACCAAAAAAAGAGATGACTTAGGATACAGAACATGCAGGAAATCAAAGCTGGGAGAGGGATGCCAGTGATCTTCAAAGAGGCCTGGGAAAAGACGTTCCAGCATGCAGCTGTGCACTGGACTTAAAGGGCAACCAGTCCGGACTGCAGCAATAGGACTCCCGAGACGGCACGTCAAACTGCCATCTCCAAGATAAACACTGACGTTTCTAAGCACAGGACGTCCAGATAAGCCTATTCCAGATTTTCATTCATAGCGAGCTTGCCTTGATGGACCCACTCACTCCACCTTGCCTTGCCACCTGCATCAGCTGCGAACACTCTTTTCACCTCCCAGTGTTCTGCTTTGATACTCTCCTAAGTGCTGAAAGAAGACCACAAAGAGCGTAGAAATAAAAACTAAAGAGCAGCACTCTTTCCATGGGAACATATGCCTGCTGAATAAACATGTAACACAGGGTCCCTACTGTAGCCCAGACTGATTCCCGACCAAGCTGGCCCTATGTGTCCAAGAACTAACTCGTGACACCACTTACTGATTGCCTAAGTAGAAGCTCTTGAAAGTCAGTGAACCTGATGCCAACTAGTCAGCCCTCTTCCTGGAAGCCTTCATCTAACTGTGGAAATGCTGTCCTTTCCTATTGCAGTTAGCCGGGTACACACTATTCATTTTCCAAAGTAAATTTAGGAACATATACACCGACAATAATACTATAAAGAAAATAACACATAAGTCAAGATAATGGCACCTCTGGGGACAGACAGGGTAGAATATGAGAAAGGGACACTCTTAGTATTCTAAAATACTAGTGATTTCTATTTTTTCACCTGAGTGATAGGTAATATGTATTCTTTCTGTTATTCTTAGGCTGAAGCATATATATTTTATACACTCTTCACTTTGTATCAAACATTTCACACAAAAATCCTATATAATAAAAGCCTAACATGCTAAGTGTCCAGTCGTCCATTCAACCAATCAAAGCATAATATGCTAATGACTAGAGGCCCAGTGCACAAAATTCATGCACTGGGGACGGGGCGGGGGGGGTGTCCCTCAGCCCAGCCTGCACCCTCTCACAATCTGGGACTGCTGGCTTCCAACCACTCACCTGCCTGCCTGCCTGCCTGATTGCCCCTAACCGCTTCTGCCTGCCAGCCTGATCACCCCCTAACCACTCCCCTGCCTGCCTGATCAATGCCTAATGCTCCCCTGCCGGCCCGGTCACCCCCAACTGCCCTCCCCTGCTGGCCCGGTCGCCCCAACTGCCCTCTCCTACCGGCCCAGTTGCCCCCAACTGCCCTCCCCTGCAGGCCTGGTCGCCCAACTGCCCTCCCCTGCAGGCCATCTTGTGGCAGCCATCTTTTGACCACATGGGGGTGGCCATCTTGTGTGAGGGTATGATGGTCAATTTGCATATTACCTCTTTATTATATAGGAATAGGTTAAGGCTACTCAACAGCTCGCAGTGACATGCACTAACCACCAGGGGGCAGAGAGTCGACCAGTCAACCAGTCACTATGATGTGCACTGACCACCAGGGGGCAGATGCTCCAACTTGTAGGTTAGCTTGCTGCTGGGGTCCGGATGATCGGGGCTGAGCAAGACAGGCCAGACATGCCCTGGAGCCCTCCCACAGTCCCTCCCCGGCAGGCCAACCTCCCGCGTCCCTCTCCAGCCCCGATTGTACACTGGTGGGGTCGCTCGGCCTGGCCTGCGCCCTCTCACAATCCAGGACCCCTTGAGGGATGTCGGAGAGCAAGTTTCAGCCCAATCCTGCAGGCCAGGCCAAGGGATCCCACTGGTGCACAAATCTGTGCACGAATTCATGCAGCAGGCCTCTAGTTTCTAAGTAAATTACAAAACAAGGTTACAGCAAATTAAAAAGAGAAAGTACATGCTGGCCCGGTTGGTGGGGCTAAGTGGCTGAGTGTTGACCCATGAACCAAGAGGTCATGTTTCAATTCCTGGTCAAGGCACATGTCTGGGTTGTGGGCTCGATCCCCAGTAGGGGCCGTGTAGGGGGTGGCTGGCCAATGATTATCTCTCATCACTGAAGTTTCTATCCCTCTCTTCCTCTCTCTTCCTCTCCCTGAAATCAATAAAAACATATTTTTTTGAAAGTACATGCAGAATAGTAACATTACATTTCCTACTCTGTATAAGGTGAAAAATACGAGTCCAATGTTTTACCATTAAAAAATATTCTTTCCCACAAATTGAATATAGTAACAGTTGAATCACCATGCCTCTTGCTCAGCTTTATAACCACAGCCTACAGGCAGCACCACCCAGCTGGAAGACAGCAGTTAATAAGGAGCATGGGATAGGTAATACTGGAAGGAAGATGACATGAGGTCTCCACTCATTGGAAACTCAGAAAACAGCATCATAAGTAGCAGCTGAACTAGTATTAACCCAAGCAGTGAATATTTTATTTAAATATAATCCAAGGGATTTATAACTTCTTTCATTCCTCTGAAATCGAACAGCATATTTAATAGTAAGGTTAATTTGACATTAATTTATAAGTAAACTACTCATCCCCACCCTACCGGTAGAAAATAAGTCAAATTTTCTGAACCATGAAATACTTGAGGACTAGAATTCTGTAGAAGGCCAATACTTTCTTCCCCACCAATTAGGATTCTGCACCGACTCTGCTCTCCTCTTTGTTTTGTTTTAATGTTTCAATGGTTCTTTCCATTTAGGCATAAAAAGCACACACAAAAATTTTTTAAATTCAGCCTGGCAGGGTAGTTCAGTTGGTTGGAACCTTTTTCTGTACATCAATTTCCATTTCTGGTCAGGGCACATACAGGAGGCAACCAATCAATGTTTCTCTCTCCCTCTCTCCCTCCTTTCATCCCTGAACTCCAGATCTTTGTTCCTTATCCCTCCTGTATATACCTCTAAAAAAGACAATCTAATTCTCTGACTCATTTTGTACATATATCTGTAATCTGGATTCCACCACCTCATTGAAACTATTCACTCAAAATGTCACTAGGTATCAAATTCTATTTCAGTTTTCACTCTTCTCCGCCATTCTGCCGACTACACACTGGCCATTACCTCATTTCTTTTTAAATGAAGTGGTTTCAGGAACCACTTCTCTTTCTAGAAACCACTTTACCTTTAAGCATCTCCTCTGACTCTTCTTCCATCTCCAGTGATTCAGACCTAGC